GATTTCTTTATTGGTCGTATGGTTTGTGATGTCAAACGCTCGGCCGAGGAATGCATTAAATCGAGATCTTATGATTTGCAGACTTTATGTCAAAATGTTTTGAAAATTAAAGAAAATGAACGTATGGATGTGAATGAAGAAGATCTAAAGGAAATGTATGAAACTGGTGATGGTATTTTGAAATTGTGTACTTTAACCATGCAAGATGCTTCCTTTATACTAAGGCTAATGTGTGATTTAAATATAATGCCTTTGGCTTTACAAATCACTAATATCTGTGGCAATGTTATGACCCGTACTTTACAAAGTGGTCGTTCGGAAAGAAATGAGTTCTTGTTATTGCATGCTTTCACTGAGAAGAACTACATAGTGCCGGATAAAAAGAAGAGAGAATATGGTGCTGCTGCTGCCAGTGCTGCCGGAGATACCACTATGGGCGAGGGACATGATTTGGAGAGTACTACTAATATTACTGCGTCTGCTGCTGGCGGTGGACGTAAAAAGGCCGCTTATTCCGGTGGTTTGGTATTGGATCCCATACGTGGTCTTTATGACAAATACATTTTACTTATGGATTTCAATTCTCTATATCCCAGCATAATACAAGAGTATAATATATGCTTTACCACTGTACAACAACCCTACAATATGGAAGATTTACCCACTCTACCAGAATCAAGTGTAGAACAGGGAATTTTACCACAACAACTGCGCCGTTTGGTCGAGTCAAGACGTGAAGTTAAAAAGTTAATGGCTGCTCCAGATCTATCACCCGAATTGCAAATGCAATATCACATACGTCAAATGGCTTTAAAGTTGACTGCTAATTCCATGTATGGTTGTTTGGGTTTTGCCCATTCTAGATTCTTTGCTCAGCATTTAGCCGCTTTGGTTACACACAAAGGTCGAGAGATTTTAATGAATACCAAATCGTTGGTACAAAAAATGAACTATGAAGTGGTGTATGGTGATACAGATTCCATAATGGTGAATACCAACATTACCGATTATGAACAAGTTTTCAAAATTGGCAGCACCATTAAGCAGAATGTGAATAAGTTGTACAAACAATTAGAATTGGATATTGATGGTGTATTTAGCTGTCTGCTGCTGTTGAAGAAAAAGAAATATGCTGCTGTAAAAGTGATTAAATCTAAAGGTTAGTAAACAAAAAAAAAATGTTTCTAAAATCTAGTTTTTAATAAATATTTGTTTTCATTTCTTTACTTAGGAGAATTGAAAAAAGAACAGGAGCACAAAGGTCTAGATATTGTACGTCGTGATTGGTCCCAAATTGCCATTATGGTGGGTAAAGTTGTCTTAGACGAGGTTCTATCGGAAAAACAACTCGATGATAAACTCGATGCTGTTCACTCACATTTGGAAAAGGTTAAAGATCAAATACTTAAAGGCGAAGTACCAATGCCTATGTTTTTGATTACCAAACAACTATCCAAAGCACCGGCTGATTTTAATAACACCAGTACCCAGCCTCATGTACAAGTAGCTTTGCGTATGAATAAAACTCGTAATAGACGTTTTAAAAAGGGCGATATGGTTAATTATATTATTTGTCAGGATGGCACTTCAAATCCTGCCACTCAGCGTGCTTATCATTTGGATGAGTTAAAAGGTAGTGAGACGTTAAAACTGGATACTGATTATTATTTGGCTCATCAAATACACCCGGTAGTTACGCGTATGGTGGAGGTTTTGGATGGCACCGATGCCAGTCGTATTGCTGAATGTTTGGGTTTGGATCCTACCAAATTTAGGGCTCAAGTTCAAAGGTGAGTTGAATCTGTTTGAGAAACTTGAGAAAACTGTTTAACTTTAAAATTTTATTTTCCAGAACTTATGAAGAACGTGCTGAAGAATCCACTGGTGAATCTTTAATCAAATCCACTCTACAAAAGTATCGTCAATGTGAAAAATTCAAATTTATTTGTGTTAAATGCAAAACGGAAAATATAGTGGCTGCTGCTTTTAAACCTTCGGCAAATCATACATATGAAGCTGTTCTGCAAAAATGTACAAATGCCGAATGTAGCATAAGTCCCTATCAATATGTTATTGCTATACGCAATCAATTAATTCTAACCATGAGACAATACATTAAACGTTTCTATCAGAATTGGTTGGTCTGTGATGATCCAGCCTGTAATCATAACAGTCGTTGTTATACCCATGTTACCAGTGGCAGTCGGCCGGTGTGTATGCGTTGTAAAAATGGTACTCTTGTGCGCCAATATACTGAAAGAGATTTATACAATCAATTGAGTTATTTCCAATATATGTTTGATTTAAGCAAACATCAACATAAAAGTAAGTGGTTTTATTTTACTATTAGAATCATATTACAATTCTAATTTTGTTTTTCTTTTGATTCTATTTTTAAGATGTTAATATTAGTCCCGAAGTCACGGCTGCTTATCATGTCTTGCGTGAAACTGTTGACCAACAATTACAAAAGTCAGCTTATTGCACTATTGCCCTGTCGAAATTGTTTGTTAATTTGAAACCATTGTCGAAAAGTGATGAAATTTCCCATCAAAAAATTGATCTACCAGCGGTACAAGTGGCTGCTAGTTTAGCTGATTAAAGAATTAAGTTAAGATTTGAAAATAAGGTAATGTTTTTAACAAAAATATATGTATTTTTCGCCTGCCCGCCAGCATTTTTTCTGCTTTTGAAAGTGTATAAAGGTTTTATATTTCATTTTTATTGTAGATCTTAATCTTAATGTAAAAATGTTATACTTTTCATTATACATACATACAATACTTTGCATTTTTACAAATGTTTTATTACAATATTTTAGTTTTGTTTTTGTATAAATAAAAATTTATTTTTCTTACACATTTACATACATATTTCTTTTGCATTTATGTATTTAAAGTATATAATTTTTAAATTATAGTTAACATAACAAATCTTGAATCGGAAGTGAGTTCATGAAGAGAAATCATTGCACACCTGGATTAGATATATATCTTAATAGATCAATTAATTTACAAGGACCGATTATTCGCAGAGAAAGTACGAAACTAGTTTTGTTGTTCATTTACGATTCATCTCTTCGTGTTGTTGGGAATTATGATTTGCGGGATACACTGAAAGTGTGTAGTGGAACTAATATTGGTAAGATGGCAACCTCATTAGCATCACACCCATGCTAAATTCGCAGCTCACGCTCTCTATAGGTTGTTTGCCCTTAGAAGCGATTGCGTGGTCCACTTATTGTCGTCTACCTTACTGTAATCGTCTATCGAATTGTCGGCATCATAGCAGACATCGTCCCTAAGTTTTCTCTCGGTAATTTTGGCGTGCGATAACGCGTCTTTTCCATTTTCAATGTTTAGATTATCACAATAATTAATTTGGATTATCAAATGATCTTTGGTACATAACCTTCAAAACCTTCTTCCTTTCACTTAAAAGTAAATTTCTTTCGTCTGTGAAATATCTTGCATGATTTTGTCAACCAAGATTTCATTGTGTTGGGTTGGCTTAGACAATATATTAGAAGACTCTTTTTCTGCTTAGATTTGTTCTCAGTCTTCATTTCCTAGGAAGATCTAATCCTTTTTGCTTTAAATGTTAATAGAGAATCCGATATATCTTTTGGAGTGTCCTAGGATTGATTAGCTATGATATTCATAAGAAGGGTAGTCATCTTGTCGCGATGTGAAGGCTTAAGTGCGATGAATCTCATGGGCCATGCTGACGGAGACAGCTTTGCTTGAGCTGGCTGCCTCCTAGGGGTCACCCTTGTCAGACGGGTCATGAGACGAGCACGAAACTAAGAACTACCCCTCCCACCTAACAGATGTCTGTTTCCCACATTGGGCGGTCTGTTAGTAACGATCTGTTGATTTGCTTCTCCTGTCACTGAGACAGGGCAATCAACAGAAAGTCCGTTTTGAATCATTTGATTCACGCACTTAAGTGTGCAAGTCCTGAAATCCATCAAGCGTCTGTTCCAGATTGGACGGCTTGATGGTCTGTTTGCTCCCAGTGGGACGGCAGTTTATAGTCCTGGCAGTAGGCCAAAAATGCAAACCATTGTCATCAATAGACCTTTCAGTGAGGTGGCTAGAAACCCACTGGTAAGGGCTATTGTTGACCAAAGCAACAGCGACGGAGCCATCTCCCAGGAAAAATGGGGGACTATCCGTCAGAAGATGCTAGGCGTGTACTGGAAGATCCTCAAGGAGAACCCAGGACCCGCCCCCCAAAACGATGATGCTGGTTGGTACCAGGGTCACATTAAGCTGCTAGCTTGTTCAAATGAGCGCTCTGCGCTTCTGCTCAAGCTAGCTATTCAATCCCTTGGGGAAGTGTGGCCAGGTGCAAGGTTGGACGTGATCCCGGTTAGCGAAATTCCTCGCAGGCCGAGATCAATTGCCACCATCCCAACTGAGCCACATGACCCGGCGGAAATTCTGGCGTTCCTACAAAGCGGAAATCCTCATCTACCTACCCATGATTGGAAGGTGGTGAAGGTTTCCGCCCCGATGGGAAATGTCAGAAAGGCGACTGTTGTCCTTAATAAGGAAACGTTGGCGCCATTGCGTGAATGCGGAGGTAAAGTTTACTATGGTTTTGATAGTATCTCCCTTCGCATTTATCGCAGTGACGCCAAACGCAGCGCCGCCGCCTCTGGTACTAAGCCGGAGGCTCCGTCCAAGGAGGATAATGGAAAGGCCGACGATCCCGCTGGTTCTGAGAACCAAGAAGACTCCCAGTCTACCACAGGTATAATGGGTGAGCTTCTTGGCAATCTGAAGTTAGCGGAGGATGGAGACAGTTCGCAGGATTCCGATCCTGAGGACGTCGACGTCACTGTCGTGTACGATCCTGATCTCGGAGATGGTGAAGGTAACCCAGATTAACCTTCACCACTCCAAAGCAGCATCAGCTGCTTTGCTCCTCCGGATGGCTGAGAGAGGGGAGGAGCTCATCTTGGTCCAAGAACCGTGGACCCACCACGGCAAAATCCTTGGAATATCTCTCAGAGGTTACAAACTTCTGTTTTCAAATCCTGCAGGTAATATTAAAAATATTAGAGCCTGTATTCTGGCCAAAAACCATTTAGATATCTTCATCTTATCTGATTACAGCGATGAGGATACGGTAGCGGCGGCACTTGAGACCGGAAACTCCACCATCTGGCTCCTTAGCTGCTATATGGCGCATGACCATGGTGAACAACCGCCAAACGACCTGGTCAGAGATCTAATGCGCGAAGCAAATAGGCGTCACGTTCCTGTGATAATTGGCGCTGATGCAAATGCTCATCACAGTGTCTGGGGCAGTTCAGACACCAACAGTAGAGGTGAGTGCTTACTTGACTTTTTATTAGAATTTAATATGACAGCCGTTAATAGAGGTTCAGAACCTACTTTTGTTGTGACAAACAGAAAGGAAGTTCTGGATATTACAGCTATTAGTACAAACTACATAGAATTGATCAAAGATTGGAATGTCTCCAATGACTGCTCCTTCTCTGATCACCGCTACCTGGACTTTGACATAGTGGTCCAGGTCAAAGTTTCAAAACCCTTTCTAAATAGAAGGAAAACAAATTGGGAGAGGCACAAAGCTTCTCTGAGTACTATTCTTCCCTCTGCTCCGACGGTAGAGAGCATAAGGGATATTGATTTAGCTGCAAATTGGATTGCTAGTTCTCTGAGCGTTGCCACGAAGAGATCTTGTAGATTATCCAGTGGCCTAAAAAAGGACAAACCACCGTGGTGGAGTCCTGACATAGCGAGCATGAGAAGGACATGCCGCCGTTCTTTTAACGAGGCTAAGAGATCAGGTAACTGGAAGTATTAAAACTCTCGGACAGCGCTAAATATCTTGGCGTTATCCTAGATAAGAGACTATCTTGGAGTACAAATGTACTCTCTAGGGCATCTAAAGCCATTACGGCACTATATGTTTGTAGGAAGGCTATAGGAACATGCTGGGGCATAAATCCAAAGAATGTTCACTGGCTCTTTGAGGCAGTTATTAAACCTATTATGCTATATGGGGTTGTTGTATGGTGGCACGCGCTTGAAAAGGCTTCACTCAGACAACAACTGGAAAAAGTAATGAGATCAACTGCGCTTCTTATAACAGGCGCTCTCAGAACAACTCCTTCGAAGGCGCTGTTCACTATGCTCAACTGGCTCTCGGTCGATCTCCTTGCAAGGAAATTGGCTATGTCAACTGCGGCCAGATTGAGTGTAACTGGCAAATGGAAACAATGCTCCATAGGCCATGCTAGGATCATAGATCTTATACCGGATAATCAGTACATTGTTGATTATTGTATTCCAGTACCATCTCTAGTGAGAAAGTTCCAATATCATATATCTTCGGAGTATGAGGAATCTCTCCTTCCGCCGAATAATTGCTTCCGAGTGTATACAGACGGATCCAAGACGACGAAAGGAGTTGGTGGTGGCATTTTCATTGAGGAATTTGGAACGAAAATCTCCTTTCGACTTAATGATGAATGTAGTATCCATCAGGCTGAAATATCGGCGATAAGGAGGGCGGTAAATTGGCTAAGGTACTATCGGATATCTAATAGGGATATCAGAATTTATACTGATAGTCAAGCTGCTATTAAATTCCTAACTGGTGTGTTCTCCACATCCAAAATTGTCCATGAATGCCGGACGTCTCTCAATGAGATGGCGAGACATTCGAACATCACCCTAATCTGGGTAAAGGGACATGGGAATTCGTATGGCAACGGTATTGCTGACACATTGGCAAGAGCTGGCACTATGCTTAGCAGAATGGATATTGATCAGTTCTGCGGTATACCACTACTTGCAGTTAAGAGGCAAATCAGTGAAAAATGCCTCTGCATCGCTCGCGACAAATGGTCGCGTGAACACACGTGCTCAACATGTAGAGCACTGTGGCCACAAATGGATCCTCAAAGGTCTAAATATCTTCTTGGTCTCCAAAGACCGCAGTTAAGTAGGCTGATATCAATAATCACTGGCCACTGTAAATTTGGGAACCATGCTAGACGCATTGGTCTCCCGTTCAATGACTACTGTAGGAGTTGTCAAAACGAGGATGAAGAAGAGACTATTACTCATCTTCTCTGCGATTGTCCTGCTTTGGCGGAGGCCCGTTTTCAGACGCTTGGATCGACCTATTTTGGTGATCTAACCGAATTGTCAAACATTCAATTAGAACGTCTTCTAGAGTTCATTAATTTGTCAAAATGGGTGTGAATCCTATTACTCACACTACTCATCCACAGCAGCTGCCCTGGCTTTCTCATTTCTCATCATCTTCTTCTCTCTGCAAATGTCTCTGTTCTTTCACTCTCCTCTATCTCTCCCTCTCTTTTCTTTTCTTCTTCTTACAGGTATTTTTACAAAGGGATCAACATGGACCCAAGTAAAGCCGAAATTGGCTACCTGTGTAAACCTAACCTAACCTTCATAAGAATCTTCTCCAACCTCCTCCTATGTGCTTATTAACAATGGCTAGTAGGACAACTACTAATTGATTATTTAAGACCTGCAACGCAGCTTTAATATTATTAATTTAACTTTCCATAGCTTTTTTGTTTTCGGAGATCAATCCGTATCTAATTTTTTTTATTTATTTATTTATTTGGTCTATAGATTAATATAAATCCTTACAGACTAAAGTTATATAAAAATTTTTAGGAATTTAAATGCAAAACAATTTTTCTTTTTATATTAGCATTATTTTCCGAATAATCTATTAAATGATAACATTTGTTAAAATTTTCACATATGCGGCGAAAGGAGTCGTTGTTAGCATACACGGAGCTGTAGTACATTATTTTCAACGGTTGAAAGTTACGGGTTGGTCGAGATGGGACATTAAAATTAATTTTACCAAGAAAAAACTCCGATTCAATATCACCACGGATTAATCCAAGTAAAAATGAAATACCCAGCATTAATCTACGACTTTTTAGTGTTGGAAACTTTATTATATTGAGTCTGCTTTCATATGACGGTAGCACGAGTGAATTCCAGCCAAGACCACGTAAACAAAAAATTAAGAATTACTTTTGAATAGTTTCAATCCTATTTGAATGGATATTATAACAGGGATCCCAAATAATTGATCCATATTCAAGAATAGGACGAACCAAAGATGTATAAAGATGTTTAGTAATGTATGGGTCAGAAAATTCTTTCGACCATCGTTTCGTAAATCCGAGAACACCATTCGCTTTATTGACAGTTAATGCAATGTGATCACGGAAATTAAGTCTATGATCTAGTAATATTCCAAGATCGTTAATATTGTGGACTTTTTCCAACGGCAATTCATCTATAAAATAGTTGGTGTCGTAATTTCTTACTCTAAAAAATGACATGTGTTTACATTTTTTTATATTTAAATCCATAAGGTTTATTTTACACCATTGCGAAAGTTTATCGATGTCGGATTGAAGTAAGTGTTGACTGCTAGAGTTTCGAATGGTTTTTAGAATTTTGACATCGTCAGCGTACATTAATACTTTGGAATGAGAAATAACATTAGGGAGATCATTTATAAATAAAGTAAATAGTATTGGACCTAAATGACTTCCCTGGGGAACACCAGATGGGACCTCAATAACTTTGGAAGTGGCATCTCTAAATTTAACTTGTTGCGTTCTATTGGATAAGTAGGAAAACAACCAATTTAAAGCTGCAAAGCTAAATCCCATTAACGATAATTTATTTAGTAGCATATTATGGTTCACTCTGTCAAATGCTTTACTAAAATCTGTATATATTACGTCTGTTTGTAGCTTATTTACTAAACCATCATTTATAAAGGTTGTGAGCTCGAGGATGTTCGTTGTTGTGGAACGATGTTTACAGAAGCCATGCTGACATGTAGACAGTAATGAAGAAACTTGATGTGATATATTGTCTGATAAAATTTTTTCAAGAAGTTTAGGAATAGCATTCAGCTTAGCAATTCCACGATAATTCGATACTTCAAGTTTGCTTCCACTTTTAAATAAAGGAATTATAAATGATTTTTTCCATATGCTTGGTAAATAACCTAATTCAATAGATTTATTGAAAATATCCGTAAGAGGTACATACAACGTTTCAGCACAATGTTTCAGAATGCAGCTAGGTATACCATCAGGGCCAGGGCAAGACGAAGAATTTAATGATCTCAGGTTTGATAAAACGGTATTACTATGGATGAATGTGAAATGTATATTCGATGAATGCGTTAAATTAGAGGAGTAAGGAGTAATGTTATCAAATGTCGATTTAGAATATGTTGTAGCAAAGAAGTCTGCGAACATGTTACTAATCGATAGATCATCATCGGCACTGCGGGAACAAAACTTTAGGAAACTTGGGTAATGGCAGGCTCGACGTTTAGAGTTGATATATTTATAAAACGATTTAGGATTGGTTTTTAGTGTTGATTTCATGCGAAGAATGTAATTATTATATGCCAGTTTGTTTGTGATATTGTATTCAGAGCGTGCCACAGAGTAATTTTTAAAATCAATTATGGAGCCAAATCTTTTGTATTTTTTGTAAAATTTATTTTTCCTATTTTTTGCATTTATTAAGTGGTAGTTACTCCAAGGTTTATCGTTTTAGGAACAGTTTGTGAAATTAAATGTAAAGTATGGAATAAAAATTATTAACAATGACATCAAAATTGTTTCCAGAAAATATAGTACTCCAAACGACGTTAGATAATAAATAATTTAGTTTTACATAATCAGTACGATGGAAGCAGTATGTTTTATTATATTTAAATTTATTTCTATTTGATTATGGTAGAGATTTATTACGAAGAGTATAAATTTCAACTTTAATTGTAGGATGGTGGACATCTTCAGGAAATGTTAATGGTGGCGAGTTTCGTACGAATACGTCTATAGGATGATTAACAAAGGCAAGGTCTAAAAGTCTTCCATTTGTGTTATAAACATTATTTATTTGAAATAATCCGAGCATCATTAGTGATTGAACAAATTCATTTGAGGCTGTAGGAATTAAGTAATTAAGTTCCAAAGGTTTATTCCACGATAAATGAGGAAGGTTAAAATCTCCAAGTACCACAAATAAGTCACAAGGGTTGGATTGTTTCAGAGCGAAAGCAATTCCCGAAGTGTGCAACTCATAAATATCAGCAGAAGAATTTGGAGGAATATAGGAGCAAGTGAGAAATAAGGAACTATTATTAAATAGGATTTTGACGGCAATAAATTCAATATTATTACTGTTTTCAAATGTTATGCTTTCACAGGGAAGATAATTTAATACTGCAATGAGTACACCACCACCACGTTTGTATGATCGATTAAATCTAAATATTTGATATTTTGAACGTAGTATCTCAATATCTTGAATATAATTGTTATCATTCAACCAGGTTTCAGTGAAGACAATAATTTCATATGAAAAATCAAAGCTATTAGCATTGTCTGCAAAGATTACAAACTTCCAAGATAGTGGACAATCTAACCTTCCTTAAGTAAAGTAAAACCATAGCTGGAAGATAATAGATTGTCGATAACCACCCTCTACCCGCTACACGTGGAGGCGCTCGGTAGGAGATCTGGCAATTCCCGCAGTTGTTGCAACT